AAGTGACTGCGTGCTAAACCAAAATCATCTAAATTCATAGAAAAATTAACAAAACTATTTACAGAAACATGAAAACAATTTAAAAAATTTATTCTTTTAGCCTGGTTTTCCCATGCTGGATCACATTTCAACTTTTCATGCCGTTCTGCCTGCACTTAACTCAGTCCGATTTTTTTCCCTCCATGCATCAGTAAGTCTACAAACTAACCCTGTCGCTGAAGAGCTTCTTTGAAAAGCGAGAAAGAGCCAAAGATGAGACACCAGAAGAGTGTCAGAGTGCCACAAAAAGAAAGCAGCATTTAAAAGAAAAGATCAAGAATCTCACTGAAATCAATGGTTCGTCTCAACAGGTGATTCAAATGCTAAATCAAAAAAATAAAAGTAGACAATTTTAATCAATTAAACATTGTAAATATAAAAGTTTTTATATATTTGTGTTTAAAAAAGGTCATTTATTATAAAGAAAGTGCATAAATTCCTTTATTTCTTTAAGTTTCTATTGCTTTAGTCGTTACATTGCACTCTTTGCCCTTTCAGACCAAACACTTGACTCCGAGTCATCTGAGAAAAATGAGAAGCCTTCAGCATTACAGGACCTGACAGCATCGAATCAACTTCATTTTGCTTTCCTCATCAAACACCGTGCGCCGTTTTATTCCCATTCTCCTTAAACGTTCGGAAAACCCATTTAAAAATAAAGACGGCCGCTTTTGCCTTCTGTGAAATGTAGCTGCAGTGAGCTACGCAGGCACGGATAAGAAAAATGATGCATGGAAACACTGTGTCAGTAGAGTGTCACTGTCAGTGTCGGGAGAAAACGGCCCAATCACGGCTCGGTATGCAAATTATGAGCTCAGCTTCAGGCTCATGAGTGACAAGAGACTCTGCCACTCTGAAGCCATACATCAGCGAGGCATGAACGTGACGGCGTTCGGTTCAAACTCGAGCCACGCTGGCGGCGTTGTAGTTATTCAGCGAGACCGACACGAGAACCCGACAGCACATTTGAGGGCTTTTCTAAAAGAGGGCTTTCGCCTCCTCTGCATAGTTTTTTACCCCTTCTCCCCCTGTGTGTGTCGCTCCTGCTTTTCTATACATCTCCTGACCTCTGTCACGCCATCACTCCTGCCTCATTGGTCGAGCTGGGGGAAGCTCGAGTGGCAGCCCCTGAGCGCACGTGTCCAGCGGTCGGCGCGGAGGGAAGACGACAACACAGCATCTTCAGTCTCCCGAGTTAATATATGCTGCTGCTGTGTCCAAGACTCCCTCTCTGTGGCATTGCTGCAGCCGCAATCAACACCGACTCCTGCCCTCGCTACACGCATCATTAGCGGCGGTAGGAAATCCTTTCCGCTGGTCTCTTACTACTCGTTTCTGCATCGGCTAATGATGTCCCAATCCATCCATAAATTTGTCGTTGTCTGCCGCTTTGAGAAGTTTGACATGGCAGCAGGGTGCACGGGGATGAAAGTGCTCAGTGGACAGACTGTTAAAACGTGGCAGCAGGGGAGAGGGGACATTAGTCAGAGGGAAGAAGCAAACTAGTTCTGCCTAAATGGATTCCCTAATGATCATCCTCTTGTTTGCATCTTCATCACCACCATTTCCCTCCCGCACCTCCCCCTGACTGTTACGCTTTAAACCCGACATTCGAGTTAAAAAAGAAAGCCACAGGTTTAAATTTAGCATCAGAGTGCAGGAGTTGTGTGCCGACTTTTGATTAGCGATGTTGTTGCATCTCTTTGAACACCTCAGAGACTGCCGCTCACATGATCTAATACGCTGCTTTTGTTAATTATGCAGCGGCACAGTACAGTATTCCCTACTGCAAGACCTCCGGTGCGTGTATGTTGCATTACTATTCACGAGACAAACCGCGCCAGCTCCCGCCGCGGAGGCACCCAGCGGAAACCTGGGACCCGTGACGACGCATGTAAAAATGTCACGCCGCTCGTTTCCTCCCCTTCAGCTAGTGCCCCTCCTATTCGACATACGCCGCTCTCGTCTTTCTTTGACGTGCGACGCCGCCGGTTCTTCTCTCGCCACCGAACGAGGGGGCCGGTGAGCAGCGGGGGAAGACATTTATCTGTGCATGTCGGCGGTCTTACTGGGGGTCTCCAGCGTAGCTTAACTGCGCGGGCCGTATCCCAAAATGAACGATGATGGGGAAAGTGATGACGTCTGGGTTGAACTGCTCCCTGTCCAGTTGGTCGATGCGCACCGAGCTCGGTTTCTGCGGGGGGGGGGGAGAAAAACAAAGAAGTCAGCACAGCGAGGAGAAACATATTTACATAGCTACCGGGCAACCATCAATCAGTCACCTGCTGCCAGCATGTGAAATAAAAAAGAATCCACCCAACATAGGTGATCTGTCACAGGCGCATAATGAGATGAGGCCCAGATTGTGCTCGTAGCGTGAACGCAACAATGATAAAGCGACGCCGGGGATGGCGAGCTAACTTCTGACGCTCTTATCGGGGAGGAGATTGACAGGCAACATGTCCTCGGCCGACTCCCAAATCACAGTTAGCCTGTCAGGCGTGCGGCGGGATCAGAGGAAGGGGCCGCGGCATAAGGCGCGCTGATCTGCATGGCAGATGGCTGGAGGCCCGCGCTCACCTTGACATTAGCCGCGTCCGCCCGTCGCCGCCTGCATGCAAACTTTGACTAGAGAGCGAGAGGTCGGCGGGCAACTTTGATTGTGCCGTTAAAGCGACGTAATCAGGTTTGATTGGCGGCGTGATTGCCCTGTTTACAATCCCGACAAATACACTGTAAATGCTAATTCGCAGATCTTAGGCCATTTAGCGTCCTCGGCTCCTCCGCCTATGCTTTAATGCACCGTAACAGATTGAAAGGTGATGGCGTCGGGGGAGCCTCGCGTGATTGGCGTCGGATGCTTTCACTCGGAGCAGCATGTGACCTTGGTGTAACGCAGCAGGTGAGGGCTTTTCACAGAGCGAGAGTACGGACGGGCTGACCTACACCACTTAGCCCTGAAAGGACATTTTTATTGATTACGGAGCGCTGCATGGTTCACACTTAAACACCTGCAAGAAAACACTCGTGTTCGCTATCAATTATGTGACTGACGGAAATGAGAATGCCGCTGGTTTGGTTTAATTAATCTATTGATAAAAATGCCTGGTTGCAGTGTATTTTTCCAACTTAATTGCAATGTTAGCTGCAGTTTAAACTGTGTGTATAATGAGCCACTTTATTGCCATCTGCTATTTGCTGTGCTTGTTCTCTACTACGTTTAGTAAACTTTCCCACTTCTATGTTTTTTTAGAATTGATTGAGCCATTTTGTTCTATTTAAGCATTTTTAAGCTGCTTTTATTTCATTGAACACTTTTCTTTTATTATACTCAATTTTACTGCGCTGTTACTTTTTGGATTTAACAGAAACTTCCCACCTCAGATTTAACTGAAAGAAGTCGAGGGGAAAGATACACTTCCTTAAAGTAATTATGCATGACGACTTAAGCTAGGTCGTTCCCGTTTTTCAGGATAAATATCTGATTAGATGGCTCTGTGAATGTGGTCTCGCAGCTCATTGGCTGCTACACTCATATAAGAGTATTTCAAACATTCATATTGGGTAAAACGAGAGAGAAACATCACAAATTTTGAGCATAACATTAACACAATCTTGCTCTTTCACGTGGAGCTGGCACACGGTGTCATTCCTGGGGAATATCACAGTGAAGTTTCCATATTATACCCTTAATATCTGCAAAATCGTTCAGCAGATTTGGACTGTTTTAAAAGAAAAAAAAAAAGTCAGGTCCCTGTTTATGAGAAGCTGTAAATCAAACATCAGTCCTCTGCCTGCAAAAATGTGCTTTCTGCACGCCTTTAAATTTGCTGTCAGAGATCAAATTTAAAGCATCCATCATTCTCTGTTAAGCTGACACCGCTGAGAGTCCGTATTCATAGAGCCACAGTAGCAGGTATTTACCCTAAAACATTCGAATGACCGAGTGCAAGTAGTTTTCGAGATAATGAAATTGAAAATGGCTCCTAAAAAGATGCGACTGCCATGGCTTGAAAAGCATTTTGGAGAAAACTAATAACAGCGGGAGCCTGAAATTGTGCGTAACAGGGAATTTTTTTTAATAAAAATCCGAGATGTTCAGGTGGGAGGCATTTCATAAACCGACGTAATGTGTGTTTTGGCTGCTGTTACAACACATCTGGGATAATAAGGCCTTCGGTTTTTCTTTCCTCCCTCTCGTCCCTGCTACAGAGTGGCGGGCCTAAATTGACCCTTGCCAGGCCTCACAGCGGGAGAATAAAAAGAAATAAATCCAGATGCAACAGCTTG